TCGTGCCAAGTGGGTGACAAAAAAAATCTACTACTACTATTACTACTACTACTACTACTACTACTACTACTACTGCTACTGCTACTGCTACTGCTACTGCTACTGCTTCTGCTTCTGCTTCTGCTTCTGCTTCTGCCTCTGCCTCTGCTGCTGCTACTGCTACTGCTACTGCTACTGCTACCGTACTGCTACTGCTACTGCTACTGCTACTGCTACTGTTATTCTTTATTCTTTTGATTATTAGTCTCATGGATGATGACTGCTATTCTAAGGTGACAGCCCAGCGCTCGCCCGAACCGGGCTTCTTGGATGATGAGGCGGAGGGCTCTGGGGGCCCCGACTTCTTGCCGAGCCCAGAAGCTCTGGCAGTTATGGAGGGTTTAGGGTTGCAGATGGGGATAGATATTGCTTCGACTGACTTGATCAATCGCGTACGTTTGATCCTTTAGTAGCCACGAGTGCTGCTGGAGGGTTGCCTTGCTATCTTGTGGAGTTTCCCGTGTTATGCTTCCGGGAGCGGTTGCAGGAGTTAGAGAGTAGGAGTTAAAGAGTTGTAGGCTCCGACATTATTTAGGGATTTGGATTTCGGGCTAGTTGAATGTCCTTTGATAGTTCCTCTGTTCATGTGTTTGTTTCTTGGGGTTCTAGACAGGCAGAAGACCTTGGTTTTGGTGGAAGAATGTTCTTTGACTTCAACCAGCGCGGGCGGCGTTTTCGGTTGGGAGTGCTGGAGGGTTCTGGGATGTCATGAATGAGAGGGTGCCGGGTCACGGTGGGGGTTAGAGGCTAGAGTATCCGTAGCCATCTTTGCCCAGGAAGAGCTCGGTGTCAAGAAGGAACGAGATCTGCTGGTACTGACTTGGGGCAAAGCCTTGCGAAAGTCAGCTCCGCCCGAGAGTGAGCACAACTTCAATGCTGGCATCCTCAATGGCAGGGGAGGAGGCGGGTGCTCATTCGGGCTGTGCATGGTTGAGCATACAGTCATAGAGACGAGATGCCCCAAGAACAGGCTAGCACGAGGTCGGGAAGGAAGGGCTAGGGCTAGGTTGTTCAACGGTTGTACTTCCCAGGAGCCTTGAAGTCCATTGCAAGATTTAAGCTAGTTTCCATAGCATGCAATGATGGCGCGAAGCCTAACTGTGCAGGTGCGGACTTGAAGTCCATGAACGGCCTCTGGGAGGAAGTGCAGAGCAATGTGGCATCCTGCGGCCTCTTCCCGCGCTGGATCTCAATGGTGTGCGCGAAGGCTTCCGACATGTCGTCACCTCGTTTCTGTCTCGGGCCAACTACGTAGTCGCAGACATCATCAGCAGCATCACTATCATGATCATGGTCTTTATATGCATCACGCCGGGAGGACGACGACAATGCATAAAGTTTTGGATGTTGTTGACTGTGTTGGTTGTTGTGCCTGTCCAGGTTTATGTTGGTCGTTCTCAGAGTGGCAGATACTACACTGCTGCGCCGAACTTGCACCTGCCTGTGCCCTCTTTGCTGGCTCTTCTTGCCGCCACTCAGGTGGAGCACTCCAACCTGAGCTGCATCTCCATCAACTGCACAAAGGGCCGGCATCGGTCAGTTGCAGCTGCGGAGATTTTGAAGAAGACCTACTACCCAAACGCCACGGTGAAGCACCTCACCATCTACTGAAGGCTAGAGTCATAGGAACCGTCCCTCCTTATCGCTTCGCCGAAGCCCCGATGAAAACAAAGAGCGGCTGGGCATCACATGATTTCCTTATGGTTTGCGGATTCCTCTTCCCGCTGAAGGCCTAAGGGCAGGTCTCCAGGCCTCCACTATTCGAGAACAGGTTGAGTTGGGGGGGTTACAATGTTACAACACCTTCAGAAGAGGTTGTAGGGCTTTGGCATGTAGAGTATTGGACGGCAACTTTTAGTTGTTGGTGGTTTGGTCTGGCAAGACGGCAATGGATTCCACCAGTTACGCCGGCATGTCGGGTTGGTGTTTGCGCGAGGCGCTGGGTGAGCTTTAAGTATTTCCTCGATCCTGCGCATCCAATAGCGCATGTCGGTGTCAGAAGTGTAGGACTGTAACATGCTCTAACTATATGGTGAATTCGCCTTCCTGTGCGTGCAGCAGAACGGCCTACGCTGGCTGCAGACTTCCTGAAGTCTTCTTTCGGTGCTGCAGAGTCTCTTGCCCTGCCATAAGGGCATGATGCCAGCAGTGCAGGAGGCGGCAAAGGACCCAACCCAGCCAAACCAACTAGGTTAGTCGGTTAGTCAATAAATAGGTTCCTGCAGTGTGTTTAGAGGCTTTTTTGGTATAGTAGTGTAGCGCAACTTCTTAAGCCCGTATTCCATGACGAATCCGAGGCAGCTTTGTCTTGACCTCGGCTGCAATGCCCCACTTCCAATTCAAATTCGGGAGTTGAGGGCGTCTAGGCCCTTGGTTTGCATGGATCAGGATTTAGGGGTCGGTTGATTGGGGCTTCAGGGAGTGCAGGGCTTCGGGAGTTTGGGGCACGCCCCAAGAAGCGTCCCAATACCTTGCAACATCCAAAGCTTCAACTGTACAATGCACTGAAAGAATTACTTAGCCGAGTAGAAGCAATGACCATCATGGTCTCATGGTAGCTGTCGTCAACGCTACTTTGCCAGTAATAGTAAAAAAGTAAGCAGGAGCAAAGCGACACAAGAACATGGATCAAAGTTCGTCAAATTGGTGTCTGAGCGGTTCGGATGGCATGTAGAAGGCTGGTGCACTGGCATCAGCTGTGACCGTTTTAAGCAGTATTATATTGCGATCGTGAGCCCTCTTCAACAGGTCTGGGTCATTGTCAGCCCACGGGCAGTAGATTCAATGCAGTAGCTTGAAAAAGTCTGAAACCATCTGCAGGACCCCGGCCCTAACAAAAGCCAGGCAAACCGTTTGAAATTATTACTTGGACTCTTAGAACCCGCTGCAACCCTCCAACCCCTTGGAAGAAGCGTTTGAGGCAAAGACTTCCGCCCGGATGCCGCAACTTTCGGTGCTCTCATCAACGGTGCTGCAGCGTACGGCCCACAGGGCTTCGTACCCTTTGCGCAGGGATCCACAACGCCAGTTTTCTGAGGCTACAGGGATCTGCAAGGGCTTTAGGTAGCAGGCCTGCTGCCAAAACAAGGTGGCTGTTTGAGGGTTCTGCAATGCCTGGGTCTACCCAGTTGAGCGATGAAGCTTCCGAACAGCTGATCTTGGAAAACAGCCCCTCAAAGCTCGAAGCATTGAGACAACTCAACCGGAAGTTGTTTTAGCCTTCGAATCTGTTAAAGCTTGGGCTTTAAGGCTCTGGGTTCAGGATAATGAAGTAGCGCTATTGGTTCGAAAGGTTGAAAGAATAAGAGTTTAGGCTTCCGGGCTTTGCTTTCCAACATGAAGGGTTTCCGGTTGTCTGGGCCATGACGAAGCCAAGGCGCTTTCCAGTTTGAAAGGGTTTGTAGCCATTCAGGTGCACATAGAAGCGTCTGTAGGTTGCGCCAAAACCTAAAGACTATAGTAGCATTCATGCTACGAGCAGGTACTGAACACTTTAAGCCTGCATATTGGAGTTGCAAGCTAGAACCCAATGACCTGAAGCCCTACCGCCATGACCCTATAGCTTGAAGCATAGCAGTGAGATGCGTTATGGGAATGTCGGCTTGCAGTTCCTGAGGCTCGGCGATGCGGGGTCCCCCAGATGACGAAGCCTTGAAAACTTCAAGCCTCGACTCCTAAATCTTGATGATGCGATGGCACAGTAATACATTCCAACTGCATTTGACTTGTGTGTCTTCTGAGATTGCCGAGATAAGTTGAGCTGTTGAAGTCGCTTGCAGGTGGTTGACGAATTGGCCGTTTGTAGGTGCATCGAGTTTTTAGTGAAATTTGTCTCTCTCTGTGTGTGTGTGTTTACCAGTGTCATGATACTGCTGAAGTGTGCTTCCGACGTCTGCAAGCTCTCAATCTCTGTACATGTAAGTGTTCTCGTGCGCCTCGAACGCGCGCTGCACCGCTTGACTCGACCAAGCACGCAATTTTCAAGAAGCCCACAGGCCACAACGCTGCAAACCTGTGCCATGTCGCTGGTAAGGCCGTCATCAAAACCTTGAGCAAGAGTCGAAGCTCCAAGGAAGTCTGTAGCCTGAAGTTATGAAGTTATAGCGAGGTTTGACAGAGAATGATTGGTCAACAGCCCCGGGCTATCCGATACAGATGTGCCACCATCACTACCGAAAATAACCCACCTCCCACAGCGGGGTTCCGGACACAAACCGGCGGAGTGAGTTCACGCGCACTACTTTCAGGCAGCATGCCGCCTGACACCCAAGAAAACAAATTGCCATGAAACGTTCCCGCTACATGTTGAGAGGGGCTTGGGATGCGCTCGCCTTGTGCATGTGTATCTGTCTTCGGTCGTTGACTTTTGGTTCTTACTGCCAGCCAGCAAGCCCGAGCTGAGACCTGTCGCCTAGAGCCGTGCCTGCCTTGCAAGTGTGCGAGTCGAAAGCTCCATAATTTTAGTCCCAGACGTGTGTCCGCAGTTCAGCTAAAGACTTGCCAAGCCTGCCGTCCAGCAAATGGTGGTTGAATCCCAAGCAACATCATTATCGAGGTCGACGGCGCCAAAGAGTGGGTTGAGACATCCCGACTTCGTTTGCCCTTATTTGGGTTTTGCAGTGAGTGGCCGAAGCAGTCATAACTTGCAATGCTCGGGTTGAAGAGGGGCTTCTTTTAGTAGCTTTGCCTTTCGGGCATCTTGCGGCTTGCTTGCATGCAGGAGGTTCTAAAAGTATCTGCAAGTCGTTTTTTGGTTAAGGGCGCAAGGGAAGGGCATGACTGCAATGGTCCTTGAGCCTCAGCCCATGTTGAAAATATATACTAGATCTAGCCAAAACATAAATAAACATACGCCAAAGGCCTGTGAACACCTACCGGGGTTGCAACAACGAAACCCGATACAGCCAACAAGGCCAGACAAACATAGGGAGCTCAGATCTCGAGCTTTCCTACAATCCCATAGCAGCGGCTGCCGCCCCGCCCCCCTCCCTCCCGAATAGGATCAGATTCCTTTGTGTGTCTGTTGTCTTTTGGGGGCCTCAAGCCAGTCTGGCACCGTGGCGCCAGGAAGATGGAAGTGCTTGGTGCGAGGACCTCGGCATTGTCGCAGTTTCTAGAAAGCATTTCTGGCAGCTTTCTGCGGCGAAAAGATTAGGGCTTAGGACTTGAAGGTTTAAGAGTTTAGGATTTCGAGAGGGCAATTCCAGCATCTTAGGCACCATCCGGTTCTTCAGGAACAGCACAACCAAGCCACACGGTGGCTCGGTTGTGGAGCGTCCAGTTGGCGTGGTCCAGGCTTGTTCTTTGGGATTGGTTTGGCCCAACAACTAGAGGCACTGCGGTGCAAGCCCTCAGGTGGAATGTTTGTGGTTCTGTGGTTCTGAGTCTGGGGCAGTCTGAAGCCAGATCGCAAGCTGTTGCTGAGCGGCCTGTTGACTGTTGCGGTTTTAGATTCCTTCACCCAAGAACTGGAAAGGAAAGCCGAAGCCGCCCGAATAGCAAGTTAACAGCCCGAAACCCTGCACACCTCTTACGTAGCTGATGCCCAGATGCCCTGCAACGTCGTGAGCTGGAATGCCGCATGCCCAGCCAAGCTTTCGAGTTTCGATGCCGAAAGAGTCGTAGCGGGTTTGCTTAGGGAGGTTCCGTGCAGCAATTGTTTTTTGAGTCTTGTGCGTCCGATAAGCTGACTGTCGAGGAGCTTTTGCGTTTGTTGCTTCGCGAGGCGCCTTCTAGGAAGGCCCAACTCCACAGCTCCAAAGCCTTCGTAGGAAAGCCAGGTCCCTGACCACGAATCCGGACGCAGCAATCGTATTGATCAAAGCCTTAACCCATAGAATCCTAACTCCCTACATGGCCGGGCGTGTCCGAGAGCCAGCGCCGAAACCCTAAAGAACAAGAGTTTCTGGAGTCCCTGGCCCTGGAGCTTTAAACCCCCCAAGACCTAAACCCGCAGAGCCTTGCTTCAGGGCTCTGGTGCCCAGACAAATCCCCCTGATGCCAAGCCTGAAAGACCCTAATCCTGTCATTCTTGGAGGCGCTTCTCAAAGCTTGCCGTGACGATGAGAGCTCAGCGGAGGACTCCAGATTCCAGCGCACTTCCTTGATGGAGAGCTCGTTTTTTTGGAACATTCAGCATATGTAGGATGCATTGTTTCAAGATGTAGGCCTAACTTAGGGGCTTGGGAGGTTTGGGGCTTGTGGGATTTTGAAACTAAAGGGCTTCGTTCTGCCGGACTTGCTTTGTATGTGTTGGGTACCTGGAGCCCAGAGCGAACACTCTCCCAGGAGGTCTTCCGAAAAATGGTGCCCCGGCTGGCGTGTCGGAGGGTGCTTCTGTGGTGGGTAACCCGAGCCTGAAGCGCCAGGACGCTGTTCTAAGCTCCCCCCCGGGCTTTTAAATCTCAAGCCCTTGTAAACGCCAATGTTAAGCCCCTTTAGGCTCTCGAGCCTAAACACAAACAACACCTGAACTGATTTGGTTCGACCATGCGCATAGTCGTTCTTGTAATACGGATCCTAGGATCCGGGCTTCAGGTTGGGTGTTGGGGTCCTTTGTTCTCTGCAACTTCCATGGCCATAGTGGTGCTGTTGGGGCAGGCCCCTCAACTTCAATTAATAATTGCAACTTATCCGTAAATGCCAAGCCAATGATGAAAGAGGCTGTCTTGGTAGCTCAGTTGGTAGCCTCTAATTGGCCTTTTGCGGCCTGTCTAATCATACCATATGATCCTACTTTTCGAAAGCATCAAAAAGTCTTTATCGTACCGCGGAAGTCTGCAACAAGGGTTCAGGGTACATGCTCTATCGCGCCTGCGGTCTTCCGAAGCTCGCGGCTGAACCTGCTCGCAGGTCAAATTGAATGAATCGGTTGGACGGTTTGTGTCTTCGGTTCTAGGTTTGTCGGTTTCAGAGTTGACAGGCGACAGACGCCTTCTCATTCTCAGAGACAGAGAGCGCGAGAGAAAGAGAAAGGGAGAGGGAGGGCAGGCTAACAGGCTCCAGCCCAAATGCCTTTGAGGTACTGGAGCGTGGAGTGCAACCGGATTGCATCACAATGCCTGCATCTCAGGCTGTCAACCTGCCACGGCAGAGTAGGGCGGACAAATTGATGAAGAGTTCCAGCATGAAAAACCGGAATAGAATCATCAAGTCCGGAAGCTTCATAATCTTTGTCGGGCAGGCTTGAGCACAAATCAAGGTGGTTCTGAAACAAAACAGACATGAATGTATACATATACAAGCTTTTGCCTGCAAAGTGCGCCGACTAGAACATGTACCTAGTGATGCGGGGATTGTGGAAAGAGCATACATACTCACGTCGATTGAAATGGAGCGTAGTTCTTTTGGTTACTACTATGACTTTCCTCCAATGCCCGGAGACCAAGGACGACGCTTGTCGGAGTCCTCGGTAAAGGTCGCGCCCTGCTCCAAGCTCGAATTCTTTCAAGACTAGTGACATTGCTTGTGCTTGCATGTCTGGTTTTCGCAGTAATGTTGCACTGTTTTTTGTGTGCCCCATAAGCAGGTCGTATACAGTGGGAAAGTTGCATGCAGCACAGCAGTAGTAATTTTACCACAGTAGTAGTACCATAGTAGTACCATAGTAGCACAAGGGTAGTACAGAACTAGTGCAGAGTAGTACAGGCGTAATACAGTAGCAGTGCAGTAGGAATGCAGTGGTTGTATAGCAGTGGCAGCAGTGCAGTGTAGTACAGCCGAACAGAAGTAGTAGTCGTCGTCGTCGTTGTCTTGGGTACTGGTAGTGGCCGTGGCAGTAGTAGCAGTTGTGTAGGAGTAGTAGTAGTCGTCGTCGTCGTCGTAGTCGAAGTCGTAGTCGCAGGCGTCGTCGTTGTCGCCGCCGGCGGCGGCGTCGTCGTTGTAGTAGTAGTAGCAGTAGTAGTAGTAGTAGTAGTAGTAGCGGCGAGTAGTAAGTAGGAAGTAGTAAGTAGTAGGTAGTAAGTATTCAGTAGCAGTACTACTAGCAGCAGCAGTAGCAGCAGCAGCAGCAGTAGCAGGAGCAGTACCAGTAGTAGTAGTAGTAGTAGTAGTAGTAGTAGCAGCAGCCGTAGCAGCAGTAGTAGCAGTAGTCGTAGTCGCAGTCGCAGTCGCAGTCGCAGTCGCAGTTGTCGTCGTCGTCGTCGTCGTAGTAGTAGTAGTAGTAGTACTACTACTACTACTACTACTACCACTACTAGAGTTTGGGGTGTTTCCAAGTTCCTGCACATTGGTCTGGTCTGGGTGTTGCGGTATTAGAAAGTCGGTTTGCTACGGGTTCCAGGAGCTTGCTACAATGTCCCGACTGTTCAGGATCAGAACCTACAAAGACATCTGATGCAGAGATATGTCGCAGGCTAAAGTAGAGGTCTTGAGAGTACAGAAGTGATTTTAGCAGATATATGGAGCCATTACCATCTGGCAGCTCCCCTGTAATATCCAGCAGAGCCTGTTCATTCCTGCCGCTCTTGCCTAGGTTTTTTGTATATATATATATATACACAATAGGAAATATATATATATATATGTATATATATGTATCCAAGCATCCATCCATTTATCCATCCGTCCATCCATCCATACATGCACACATGCACAGTATCAAGCCCCCAAACTTTTGTCAAAGCATGGCAGCCTCTAGCATCCGAGCCCCAAGAGCCCAACTGTTGAGGCCAAAGAGCTGTGTGAGGAATCGGGAGTGGACTACGCAGCGGACTTAGTGCCTCGGGTGGCTTCGGATTTCAGGGATTTGCCCTGAAAGGATCGAAGCGTCTTGAATCGAATCGGCCCTGGCTTTGAAATCCAGCCGCGTTGGCTAAGTTTTCCGCATCCAAGGACAGCCTCATCCGATCGAACTTGATCAACCGCGAGGTGAAGCGTGCAGATGTCCATGGCCAGCTGCCGGCGGCCAAGACGAGTTCGCTCTTGCAGCGGAAATTGCTCTGGCACATCGGAGTTAAGATAATGAGGTAACATTATGTATGTGTATATATATATGGAGATATTTCCACAATATACATATATACATATATACTCACATATTTCTATTTATATTTATATCTATATTCATGTTTATTTATTGTAGACATAGACTAATATAGATGTAGACATAAATCTATCATAGATAGATAGATAACTAGATAGATAAGTAGATGTAGATATAGATGCAGATGAACAGATAGATACAGAACCCCAAATAATGGTATCTTTGTTATAATGGCCCCTAGATGACGTACACCCCTATTTTCTGAAACCCGGCGTCACCTCAGATCTCTTGGCTCCTGTCGGTGCCCTTCAGGTTCTGGCCGTTTCTGGGACCTCTTTCGAATTCTCGGCTCGAAAGCACATGCCCTCAGAAGCAGTCGCTCCTTAGCCTCTCGTGCTCCAGCTCACTATGCCTTCGCAAATGTGGCATGGCGCATCATTAACGATTCGTAACAGGCTTAGATCTCCTGAGTGAGGGCGAGAGATGAAGACAGGTATGTGGTGAAGCGCAGTGGGGAGAAGCAGGAGGTGAAGTTCGACGCCATCACACAACGTTTGCAGCCATTGTGCGAAGGTCTTGATGGCAAGTATCTCGGTCCTATAAACATGTTCTTATCAGCATGTGCATGCCTGCATGGATGGAGGGATCGATGGATGGATACATGTATGTACACATGTACGTATGCATGTATGTATGATAGCTGTTGCCTCGGCATCACAAAACGGGGAAGGGTCGACCACAGAATAAAAAGGGTCTGCTAGTCTGGGAGTTCGCATCATAGGGGTCGGAGCAGGCCCTTTTCAGCTGTCGCATGCCTTCTGGGGGCCGGCTCGGGCTGGGATAATACACAGGTCAGCTCAGGCCCTTTCCAATCTTCACTGTAGGCGTGTGTCTGTGTCTGTATGTCTGTGGGTGTGTGTGTGTGTGTTTGTTCGTTTGTTCGTTTGTTTGTTTTTGTGTTTTGTGTGTGTGTGTGCGTGCGTATGTCGCTGTCACTGTTGCGACTATGATTTGGACGACCAACGGCGGATACAATGTACAACAGGCTACATTGCCTCAGACCTGTCTCGGCAGCCAAACACCATGTTCCCGCAGATGCATGCTGTCAGTCGGCTGATTTGGGTTCGAGAGAACCTAGATGGGTCGCCCCAAAATGGGTGGTGGAGTTCACTCCCCTTACCCCAGCAAGCAAGCCAGCAAGCAAACAAGCAATCTAGCATGAGCTGCTTTTGCTAAAACGGGTGGCGTAAGCTGTTGGACGCACATGGCCTTTTCAATATGTGCCCTCCAAGTCTTGTCGCTGCAGTGCCGAAGGGGTCGGTGCGACCCTTTTCATCTTAAAGCAACCCTGGCACAGACCCTTTTTTGGACGCTAAGAAGGGTGTGCCGAACCCTCAGATGTCGGGGGAACAGCTATTATGTATGCATATAGGTAGGTATGTCTGCATGTTTGAAATGCATGAATGTTGTGTATGTGTGTGTGTAGGTAGGTACGTGTGTAGGTAGGTACGTAGGTAGGTCGGTAGGTAGGNNGCATGCATGGATGCATGGATGGATGGATGGATGGATGGATGGATGGATGGATGGAAGGTAGGTAGGTAGGTAGGTAGGTAGGTAGGTAGGTAGGTAGGTGGGTAGGTGGGTAGGTGGGTCGGTGGGTCGGTGGGTGGGTAGGTAGGTAAGGTTAGTTAGGTAGGTAGGTAGGTAAGTAGATCGGCCGGTCAGTCAGGCGGGTGTGTGTAGCGAGCTAGCTGGCTAGATATGCAGGCCGACAGGAGCGCACGTATGCATGCTTGTGCCGGGGCTCAAGTTCTGGTATACACATATCGCTGCGCACGTGTAAGGATGGCTACGCTAAACACGCGGATGTGCAGACATACGCTTACAGAGAGATGGCACAAGTATGCTTGCACATAGATCTTGTGATTTATGGCTTCATGGTCAGCTGAGGTTCGTCGACCCAGTGGTTGTGACTCAGAAGGTGATCGAAGGTTTTTTCCCAGGCATCTCCACTGCGGAGGTAGATGTTCTGGCAGCTGAGACGTGCGCCTACATGTCCCAGAAGCATCCAGACTTCTCTGTCTTGGCTGCGCGCATTGCAATCTCCAACCTGCACAAAAACACCTCGGACTCCTTCTACGAGACTTGCAAGGCGTGTTGCCGCCCAAATCCGGCTGCTCCCTCAACCCTAAACCGTAAACCTGCAAGGTCTTGCATGAGTTCCGTGACCAACAGGGCCGATCTGCTTCGCTGCTGGCCCAGGATGTATGGGAGTTCATCGAAGAAAATGCAGAGGTTTTGGACCAGGCTGTTGATTACAAGCGGGATCTCGGCTACGACTACTTTGGCTTCAAGACGCTCGAGAAGTCCTACCTTCTGAAAGTCCACAACAAGATCGTGGAGCGCCCACAGCACCTGATCATGCGGGCTGCCTGTGGCATTCATTGCGGGGATCTCCAGGCTGCGCTGGAGACCTACGATCTCATGTCGAGAAGGTTCTTCACACACGCAACCCCGACCTTGTTCAATGCGGGCACTCCGGCACCCCAGATGTCGTCGTGTTTCTTGCTGAAAATGCAGGGAGACAGCATCGAGGGAATCTACGATACGCTAAAGCAATGTGCTCTGATCTCCAAGTCTGCCGGCGGAATCGGAGTGGCAGTTTCCAACATCCGTGCCAGTGGCTCCTATATCCGCGGCACCAATGGCCACAGCAACGGCTTGGTGCCCATGCTACGAAACTTCAACGACCTTCGGGCCGTTAAAGAACTTGTTGACGCACTCTGTTCGGGGTGTTCTGTCGCAATCAGAAGTGTGCACCAACAGTTGAAGCTGCTTTGAAATTTGCCGCCCGGGATGTCACAGTGGAGCGGCCAACCTGGCATCTATCCAAATGTGTAAACGATTGCTGTTCGCATTCGCATGCCGCAGAAATCTTAGAGCATCAAACTAGTGTGCTATGCTGTGCCAGCCACGCATGACAGAAGTACTGTACTCAGGAAACCGCCCGATATGTGGACCAGGGTGGAGGCAAGAGGAAGGGATCTTTCGCTATGTACCTGGAGCCCTGGCACGCAGATGTCCTGGACTTCTTGGAGCTGCGAAAGAACCACGGGAAGGATCTCAAACGCAGAAGTCAAATCCATTGAATCCAATATAGAGGGACAATATTTCCGCACGACTCCGTAAGCATTGCAAACCCCAGCTTTGCGTGTATGATGAACCTACAAAGGAGGAGCAGCGTGCGCGGGATCTTTTCTATGGGCTTTGGATCCCAGATCTCTTCATGAAGCGCGTGAAGGACAATCAGGACTGGACTCTTTTCTGCCCCAACGAGGCATTCGACAAGTCTACCGGGAAGGGCCTCATGGACGTGTGGGGCGAGGAGTTTGAGATCATGTACACGCGCCTGGAGCAGGAGGCTAAAGGCAGGAAGACCATGAAGGCTCAGCACCTTTGGTTTCGAATCCTCGAGTCCCAAATGGAGACGGGCACGCCATATATGCTCTACAAAGATCATGCGAACCGCAAGTCCAATCAGCAGAATCTTGGCACCATCCATTGCTCTAACCTCTGCACAGAGATCATCGAGCAACTTGGATGCCTCCAGACAGATTCTTCTCGGGTTCAAGCGGTTTTTGGAGCGGCAGCTCATCAGCGACGCAATCGCTCCTACACAAAGGGGGGTGGGGTACCGTTAGACTATTTAGGACTTTATTTAGGGTCTTTCGACTGGTGCCCTTGTTTTATGAGACTCCCATATCTAGTGGCATATACCGATATACCAGGTATACCTCAGAGGACGAAATTACCGTATGCAACCTGGCTTCCATTTCGCTTCCCAGCTTCGCAAGCTCCGATGGTGAGCCATATGACTTCCAAAAGCTTTATGAAGTCACCAAAGTTGTGGCTGGGACATATTGAGCTTAGCAGTGTTTGGGCGTTGGCTGCCATGAGCATCTTTAGTGATTGGGATTCAGCGCTGCTCTGCATTTAACTGGTTCAGAAGAGCCCAGGTGACGAAGAACCTGAACAAGGTCATTGATCGCAACTATTACCCTGTCCCGGCTGCCAGGAAGTCCAACATGCGCCACCGTCCCGTTGCTGGGATCGTCAATTGAGATAGAAGGTAACCTCGTGTTGTCGTGTGTACATGTCTAAGGGTTGGAGATCAGGCTCACCCGTATCTGTTGTGAGGGACGCCCTGTTTCAGAGAACCACCCGCATGATTGCAGGTTGGGCTGGGGGTGCAGGGGCTCGCCGATGCTTTCCTGATGATGCCGCTGAGCTGAATTTGGAGAAGCCCTTCGCAGTAGCTGAGCAGACGACCTCTCATCTCACCCCAGGCCGTAAGGGTCTGGATGCCGGGTCGGTTTTCCAATCGGTAAGCTGACATCTCAAGCCGAGATATCCGGGCAATTCTGCTTTAGACTTCTGAGTCGTATCCCCCCTGGCGAATGAAGGTTTATCAGTTTAGCCTATACATTGAGCCCACCTTTCGAGGAAGCTGCCCTTTGAAAGTGAAGAGGCCAAGCGTCTCAATGAGGACAGCAAGAGGTTTCCACGTTTCGACTTGGTTTGCTTTAGCATTCCAGTCCTTTGCACAGGTCTTTAGTTGACAAAGGTCGGGTTGACTAGGAGTTCGCGATATCTTTATACTTCAGCTCCCTTTATGCAAAGGGTTCTGTGCAAGATGTAATGCAGGCCGTCAAGAGTCTCGTTGACTTCCAAGATGCAAAGCCTGCTTTAGGCCCGAAGCCACAGCCGGAAAAGTGAGTTCGGAGTTCGTAGTCCGCCTTGAAGTAAGGCTTCCTGGACCTTTCTGTGCATACCTGTGTATTGGGTTTGAGGCTTGATCCACCACTGGGTACTTGCCTGTACTTGCCTGCGCATACCAGGACATTTTCGAGACCATCTACTTCGCCGCTTGCGAGGCGTCCTGCGAGCTGGCAGAGACCAGGTTGTTTTAGAACATTTTCAACATTGTTTGACGACAGTTGTGCTCATGGCTTCTGCTAGATGTGATCCCGAAAAACCGCCTTTTTCATAGTCTTCGACAGCTTTTCAAACAAGTAAACACCGCAAAACGCGACACGCCGGAGAGTTCTTGGTCCAAGAGTCCAGGAGCGGCTTGGCCCCTATGAGACCTACGAAGGCAGTCCCGTGAGCAAGGGGATCCTCCAGTTCGACATGTGGCAGAAGACCCCGAAGCTTCGACCTATTGATTTCATGATTGTTGTTGTAGTTCTTCGGAATAAGATGAGGGTCATTCTTGCTAAAAATATTGCGTGCAATCAGCAAGTAATTATAGTTTCTGGTACTGAAGGCAATGGTTGACTTTCGGTTGTTCTTGATGTTCTTACTACTTCTGCTTTGGTTAACTACATGACCTGTCAGCGGCAGCGTTATCAATATTTTCATAGCTGTGATGATCATTCTCGTCATGGCACTTCTTGCCCAGTTTTGGAGGGCAGCGAGTTTCGAAGTTGAGCGCTAGAGTCTGGGCCTTCGGAGGGGGGTTTAGGAAAGGTTATGAGTAGAAGTCAGATAGTGCAAACATGTAACAGGTGTAGGTCCATCTTCATGCAGCGACCAGGTTGAACTTTTGCTATCGTCGAGCAGTACTCCGAAGAAAATATGGGTCCCTGCTTCGCTGAATGCTCACCTGCGAGAACGTAAACCCCATAATCCTCAACCCCCACGCAAAAACCAAGCCCCTAACTCCAAAATCATATCCCGAAGCGCAAGGAAAAGCGGCCGTTGGAACTGGCAAGGCCTCAAGCAACAGATTGCCAAGTTCGGTCTCAGGAACTCGGACGTATCTGGGGTTTTAGGGCTTGTCGGCACTGTGTCGTTGAGAGCTTCAGGGTTGTGGGATTTAGGGTTTCAGGGTCTACAGATGTGAAAGCATTTCGGGCTTTATGTGTAAAATCAGTCTGGTCTCAGGAACTCGCTGCTGGTCGCGCCAATGCCTACGGCGAGCACAGCACAGATCTTGGGGAACAACGAGTCCTTCGAGCCGTACACGCAGAACCTCTACGTGCGCCGAGTGCTCTCTGGGGAGTTCGTGCAGGTGAGCTGCTTGCAGCGACAGCCCGGCAGGCACAAGCACCGTTGCATGCTTTGCGCCAGGTCAACAGGCACCTCCTCCGTGACCTGATCGCCCGCGACCTATGGAGCGAGGCCCCCCTTCGTGAGTCCGAGAGTTTATAGATAGAGCCTAGATGGAAAAAAAGGGATGCGGGAAGAGGGTGTTGGGTGTCAGTGCACCTGTCAGGAGCTGCGGCTCAAGCTCATCGCCTACAATGGGAGTGTCCAAGCACTTGATCTCCCCGAAGACATCAAGGACCCTTAAGGGCGATTTAGGGTATAGTGGCTTAGCTTCTTAGTTTTTAAAGGCAAGTTGCAAACATGCCAAAGCCAGTCGTGCTCGTGCCTGGGCAGAATCCTGGGTCACGCGCGCAGTAGGGTGCTCGCACCTGTCAAGTCCCGGTAAAAGAGATCATGTGCGTTCGGCAATATAAGACCACATCGTTCCGATTATCCACTTGCCAGCTCAGTCGAGCAGCCGCTGGTGTCCAGGAAGCTGATTGACAAGTATAAGCGAGATTTCCTAAGCCAACCCAGGCCAATTACCAAACATGTTTCGGAGGAGCTCTATAAGACCGTGTGGGAGATCCGACAGCGGGCCGCTCTGTCTTCCATAAATGCGGGCATGATGGGTCGTAGAGGTATGTCAGAGTTTCGGGTTTATGATCAGGTTAGGGAGTGTGCTCTGATACTTTTTTTCATTTCGAGCCTTGCCTGCACTGGCACTGGAATCGAAGAAATTTGGCGCTTGAGCTCGAGGGCTTGGCTTAATAACGTTAGTTTCCTGTGGCACTGCTGCTGAAAAAGACCTATAGAATCTAGAATCTCCAGGTGTCAAAACCCAGAGACCTTGTGGTCGAAGGTCCCAAAGCCAGCGGAAGCCACAGATCTCCGGAAGGCTCCGATCACCTGTTTTTTTTCTTCATCGGTACCTCTGCTTGCAGGGCCAAGATGACTCCTCTCCCCTTCCTGTTTCGGGAAACGGTCCCAAACCCTTGGGCCCGTGACATTCATGTTCCTCTGCAATCTGGCACCGAACCCTTAACTACAACCTTACGTGCAAATAGCCCCCAGGGGCTTCCTGGCAAAATCCTGCCGGCCCAGGTGGTCTTGGACATGGCGGCCGATCGTGGAGCCTACATCGACCAATCGCAGTCCCTGAACATCCACATGGCGGGAGCCTCCAAAAAGGGTGTGACATAAGCCAGATATATTGCTCAGCTGGGGCCTACCGTTTACATCGCGATCCAGAACTCCTCCTCAAATACACCCGATTGGCTTTAAGATTCGAAGTCCGCAACCCGACTGTCTCTGTGCAACCTCGAAAGAGTTAGACTCCAGAGGGATATTGGCCCCCCACCAAACCCTACCTTTGCAACGAGGTCGACCAGGAAATCATAGGAACTTAGAAACCCTGGAAATCTAGGTTCCGTTGGGCACCAAGATCCCCGCATCTGGAGACCCAGGTGGATGTGACCACTGCCAAGCTCTCGTCCATGCACCTGGGGCATGCATATCACAGAAACTGCTTTTTGGGGGATGCCTCGAGATAGTCGTCAGATTGCAATAGCCCACACAATTTTTGTCGTTTCATCAGATTGATGTCACACACCCCAAGAACCTGTTGAGGTTGCTTGGGGCCCCCTGAGCGGGATAGTACGGGCTTGGCATCTTGGAGTGAGGCCAAAGGAGTTTTGGAGTTCCTGAACTTCTTGGTTTGGGATAAATGGTTTCGGACTTGAGGTTCAGGGCTTGAGGATTCGAATTTACGGTACAGGGTGTGCGGTGCAGATTCGGGATTGTTGTTGGACTTGGGGTTTAGGCGTCAGGGGTTTCATGGTGCGGTTCGAGGTCCTCGGCTCAGGAAGCTAGCTTAATCAAGGCATTCGGCTGTCTTTGCCCAGCAAAGCCACAGAGAAGCATATCCAAAAAGCATGTTTTGTTTTTGGAGTTGCAAGCAATGAAATGTGCTGGAAGCGGCAAAGGCATTTCCATGGATGGAACCTCGGGCTCAAGACGGGCCTCTATTACCTCAGGACGAGCAGGGTTTGGGATTGTCGGGCAACCTAAACCCCAAAGAAGGCAGCAGAGAGTTAAAGAGCCCGAAACCCTTCCCGGAGCCTTAGGCTCCTGCCTGCACTTTGAACAGGACGAAGGCTGCAGCAGATGCAATCAAGTTTACCGTGGATGTGGATACACTGACTCTTGGAGTATTTGGTACCTGTGCCCCCGAACCTTACCAACTGGCAGCTTATGACCCCATAAGTTATTGGATCCCCAGGTAGCACAGGGGGTGAGGAAGCGATGCCTCTGTGCTCGGCCTTCCAAGGTTTAGGAGGTTTAAGGCTTGGGGTTTTAAGGGTGAAGGCCTAGGGTTCAGCTTTGCAGCTACTGTGAAGACGTTACTTCCTGGGCGGGCAGACGTGGAGGATGCATTTTTAGTGGGTGGTGCGGGTGTGTCATGCGTAGAGGGACAGAAGGCATCTACTTGCATGTGTGTGTATGTAGAGGCATGCAGACATACATACATACATACATACATACATACATACATCCATGCATACATACATACATACATACATACATACATACAGACAGACATACATACATACATAAATACATGTGTATATATATATATAGATAGCTAACTATGAATATGTATTCACTTTTTGTGGTGCTAGCGCTTTGCAGCACACGGCCACAATTCCCAAGAAAGGAAGCAGCGCTGCAGCTCAGATTCCGAAGGCACAAAGGTGCAGAAGAAGACGATCGAAGCACTGAAAGCCGAGGGGCCGAAGTATCAGTGTGAGAACTGCAGTGCCTGATGCAAAAAGACGGAACTCTCCGGAGCTTCGTCTTAGATTCTGGAGATAGATCTCCGGATCGGTTTATTGCCACTGCACAGGCTAGGGAGCCACTACCAGTAGCTTGAGAGCCCGGTCGTGCTGTCTATACACGGAGCATGCAAGTTGTTCTTCGAATTTGTTTTGCAGCGGGCAGGCAAGCTTGGCAGCTGTGCGATCCTGTACAGCTAGGGCTAGATGCTGGCTTGGGGTCTTTTCGGGATGGATGGCTGCGTGCCTGATAGCACGGCAGCCAGAGGGGCCTTCTTTTTCGGGGTACTCCTTCATCGCGTGAACTCAAAAGGATTTGCTGATCAGCGCCTGGAGTCTCATAGTGCTGACAGGTCCCGTACCTTGAGACCTTCCACTGAAGATCCTGAACCAAGTGAACTTGACATCACACCCTCATTGATCCTTCTGATGCACTGGCGACTACGTACCTAGCTGACTGCCACGTTACAACTGCTGCCGCTACAGTGTCGCTACGATGACGACGGAAATGACGATTGTCATTGCCACTCAAACACAGGCTTTCTTCTTCTCAAATCTTGAGCTCTAAACCTTACTGTACTTGCATGGGCCAGCCTGGTGCTTTGCCTTGACATGAGCCCGAAACCCAGAGACGCGGAGCCCCAACAAATGAAACGCCCAGTTACCACATGCCTCGCCTGGATTGTCTGAGTTTGAGTGCCGCCGAACAGTGAAACATCAACTGAGAATGGATCCTCGAAAGTTGTCATAATCCAAACCGTATCGAGCCCTACAGCGCTCTTCGCAGCAGCCTCCCAGGTCCGAGCAATTCCGACGCTTCTCTCGCTTTGCTGAGAGAAATGCACGGGCGAAGCATTACGTGCCCTGGTATCGGAGGCCAGGTTGCCTAGGGCTTATAGGGTTTATGTAGGTTACAGGGTACTGGTACAGGGTTTAGGAGTTAAGCAGGGGCTTCAGGGCTTCGGGTAAACTGAGTTGAGGATGGGGTTCGCGGAGATTCACAGATCCCGTAATCAAGGGTCCCTTCACAACTCTTACCTCAGCAAAAAGACCACTGTGATGGCAGGCCATATCACACTTTCGCATCGCGTGGCTGAACTACATGTTCCAATTTTCGTAGCATTCAGTTGGTTCAAGAGGTTCGTCTTTCGATGAGTTGCGCAATGCAGACAATAATATTATGCTCGAGCCTTGGCCACCGAAGACTTAAACCCTAAAGCCATGCAGGCCAGCCCTGAACCCTTATCCTGCAAGCCCTAACGGGTCTTGCCCGCCTCGCGCGAGCGTGAGCGCCGAGACCCTGAACCGTAGTAACTCTAGATTCTGATGGAGCTTCCAGGAGCAGGGGGCATAAGATACGGCGAGAATCCAGGATCCTAAGCCTGTTAAGGGCTTACGTTTAGTGATGAGGGATTTAGGGCTTCGGTGGTTTAGGGTTTAGGCACATAGGGTTTCAGGAGTTGGGTTTGGGGGGTATGCTTGAGAGTTCAAGGCTTTCGGCGATTCGGGCACATGATAGAAGAATCTAGATGCAGAAGAGAACGCACGCATGTGCTTATGATTTTGAGCAAGAGTAATAGAACTATCTATCCACAGTTGCTAGACCACGGCATTACAACGACTTATTGCTCCTTTGCGGGGACCAGCTGACGAGTGCAGGTGAGCTTGACTCGAAAAGTCCATGGTTTTGCAGATTGCTACGGCTTCAAGCACCAGAAACCTCAAAGATCAGCGGAACTGTTCCAGGTCCATGTACTACACCCCAAGCCTTTCGTAAAGACTTTGGACCCTTTATCCGAACCCCCAAACCCCCGAAGCCGCAGAACCGATGACCCTTGAGCCATCAAGGCCAGCAGCTTTGAATCGGCTTTCGGAGGCGGAACTAAACAAAAAGCAGCGCATCTTGCACGGCATAGCCCCGTACTCGAGATTGCGGTTTTTCGGACTTAGGCCTCTCGGGTTCAATCTTGCGTTTGTGTCTTCTACTATACCCTGTGGGTAGCAGCTTGAAGCTGAAATGTCCATAGTAGTCTATCTTGTGATATGTAACAGCATATGCAGACTGCGAACTGTGAACATGAACAGCCGAACATAGATCTCTAGGGCCTCTAGGGAGAAGTATAGAATTGCTGGATTCCAGGAAGTTGCGCTTTGTCTTGGGATCACTCTGTGTCCTGTTCAACATCCCTGGACACATGTCTCCCTTCAGGTTGATTGTCTAAACCCTTAAATTCCTGCAGCCTTAAACCCTAAGCCTATATTGAGCCTTTTGGCAACCCGTGTGCACCCTTTGTAGTGCAACCTTATGCTAACCCGGAAGCTGCCCCCAAAGTTCTGAAGGGTTTGCAGGGCTCGGCAGGGCCTTCGTAGGAACTGGCTTCAGCCGGCCTCGGCCCCCTGAAGTAGCAGCTCCAAGCACTCACGGGCCAAACTTGAGCATGCGTAAGAATTTGGGGTATTTAGGGTTTAAGAAGCTGGGGCTTCGGGCTTGGGGCCCTTCGCCGATCCTTCGTGTTTTCAGTCTGACGGCTTTTCAAGCCCAGGACCCCAGGCCCCTAGAGCTCCGCATGGAAGCTGCGAATGGCGATGTAGTCCCGAATCGCTGAGTTTGTCCAGTGCAGTCGGGTTACACAGTCTCAATATCGAATCCCGGCATGCTTTCGGCTTTCGTTCGGCTGCGGCGGCCGCGAAAGTGAGTGCCGGGATCTCAGCTGTGCTATGGGAGGTCGCTTTTCGGACTCAAGGGCACTCACTGTTTGTCACTGTTTGTGCATCTCTCTTGTCACATAGCAGCAAGGAATCGTTGAACGATCCATCCACTCCGGGGATGTGTGGAGGTGCGGACGAAGACAAATCATGCTCTGGATGCCTGCGGCTTCGCATGAAGCTGCACAGTCCTGCAAGTCTCAATGCCGTACTTTGAAGCAGAGAGCCTAGGCAATACCTTAACTGTTTGACGTGCAGGCAACCAAACATGCGAAATGCTTTGGCCCCGTGCAAGCTAAGGCAGCTAAGATTCAATCCAATCCAGCCCTCATCCTCGAGCAAGACAACAGAACACAAGGTTTGGCGGGGCCGTCGTGCCTCCGCGCCGTTTGCCGCGGCGGATGGCGGACCGCGGGCGAGTGCGCTAGCCGCATCCAGGGGTCTATATCGTAGGCATTGGTTGGAGTGGGTGGTTTGGTTTCCTGTTCAGGCTTGAGGGTTCCAAAAGTTGTATCGCGGAGCCTGTGTGCATCTTGCGCCTTAACCGCTCCATGTGAATGTCATCATTGTACGTGTATGCCAGTGTGTGTGTGCTTGTTTATATGTATAGATGGTGGATCAGAGGGGGGGTCGTGAGCATATACGGTGACATATATACACATGTATGTACACGTGTGTATATATATATACATTATGTATATGTGCCGAAAAAGCATGCAAAAAGCTGAGCCGGACGCCGCGGCATTCTTGCCATAGGCCATAGGCAGGAGCGATTGAATCAGGAATTGCAGTGAAGAAGACATGAACAACTCTACACAAACCCTAGCACCACTTCCCCTCGAGGTGGGTTGCCTGGTCTACAGCAGCAAAAGCTGCGCAGAGAAGGAATGGCCACTGCCTCATGTTGGACGTGTGTCCAAGACTTGGAGTCCAAGAGGTTTGCACCGGTTCCTGTTAAGGCTTTACGCCTCACAAAGGGGCGGCTGAGTGCTGCTTCGTGCATCTCAATGTTCTTCCTTGTGCCTCGTGTTACTGCTGCTGCCCATGGGTTTGTTGATATGACAAATCCGAAACCCCCGTTCCTTCAGCAAATGAAAGGTGGTGTGTAGGGCCAGGGCTTAGCACGGCAAGTTGCGCACCATTGCTTCTGGCTCAGGCTCAGTCCCGGTACCATTGACACATTATACAAGATCTTCAGCGGACATTAAGCCTGATTGACTTCTTACGCAAGATCAAAAACCGTAAATCCTCGATACCCTACACCCCAGACGTCGGAAGACCCGAAGTAAGCTGAGCCCAGGCGAAAGTCGCACGACTCACACCGTGCTTCGGCTACAAAATGGGAGCCTCAGCATTTCCTTCAGGGTTGAGGGTACATCCCAGGAAGGGGGATGGTTAAACTGGGCTCACAATTCGACCACAGCTCCAAGGCAATAAATTGAATTGAAAAATTGCCCGTGCTGCTTTGCTCATGGTCGATTACAAAAGCCCCAAGGCCTTCAAAACTCCAACCCAGAATAGTTGAACGTCCAAGTGCCATTGAGGTTTCTGCTTATCCCGGCTTATCCCTGCGCCTGTACCATTCGATGCCCCTTGCATGTTCGCCTCGACCTGGGGCCATTTCGAAGCTCCAGATCGCCACGGGGCTTGTTTGGAGAGTCATGCTTCCAGCTCGCAACAACTAGGCTAGGAGGGATTGTTGGCAAGCTTGTCGCCTTGCGCAAACCGTGTGCATGCCGATCTGTTATGTGATGCCTTCTTCGGCGGCCACTTCCAGGGGACTCGGGACATTGTAGTTCGAAAGCTGAAGCCCCAATTGGGGGGTTGCTCGAGACGAACTTTCAGCTCTAATCTTGTCTAAAGAGTCTCGGACCAGAGTGTTGCGAGCATGGTAGGGCAACAGCCTGATAATCTCCTGCGGACTGGTGCAAGAAGCTGGTGTATATCACTGCCGCGATAGGTAAGGTGTACTTAAGGGTTTCCAAAAATGCCCTGCTTGACGTACCGGGTGTTCAAGCATAGTAATAGTGGGACTCTTCACCTAGTTACCCTGCAACTAGCACAAGGATGCTTTGGTTCGTAGGCAGCCGCCCGCAGATGATAGGGACCCTTGGACAGAAGTGCACCCTGATATACGCTAGACCCCCCACAAGGAGGCCGAGACCCGGCTAAATGAACCTCGGGTTTGATCTCAGGTGTTCGAGTCAGGGGCTCAGTGCGTGGGCAGAGCCATGGTTACTCACAATGCTGGTGTCCATGGGGATTCGGGGTTTAGTTTAGGGTACAATCCATACTCCCAAGCGGGCTGTAGAGGCCCATGCACGGTTTCCCTCTTCCTGCATCTTTATCTGACTTGGCATGGCGACGGGAAGCGAAGCGCACCGTGTTTGCAAGAAACTTTGTGTAGGAATGCGACAAATACTTAAGATAGATCGTCCAGCAACCTGGAATAACATAGTTAGGTCCAGCGCGAAAAGTGTATGCTTGCGCTCGAGTGTTTTGTCAAACCCATGGTTTCGTGCAGAATCTGCAGATGGCAGATGGCAACTTGCGAGGGGTTCTCTGGATTCGAGTCTTTGTCTTCAGAGTAAGGAAGCCTTATCTATGACACTATGGGTCTGCCAAGATACGACAAGTGAAGCCCGCCACGGACATGTCCGCGCCTTCGACGATGAGTCCCAGACTGCAGTTGAGTAAGTTTTTCAATAAGCTTCGATTTGGGTTCTCGAGGTTTGAGGTCCCAAAAAGCAGAGTTCAGAGGTCACATATAAGTGAGAGAGCCCCTTCACGAGCATCTGCTTATGCAAGCCGTCAACTTTTGAGAAGAGTTCTGGGCTCAGACAGCGGCTGGCGTGGATGATGTCTGGATCTTGTGAACAACAGCATGGTAGTACTGACGACCTTCACGTGAAATCACGATGCTACGTATTCAGCTACAATGACGGATGCGAGTTACATCCATCGCAAGCAGACTTTGCGCATGATGGCCTACAATGGGGTTTGCAGCTTTGTCTCCTCGGTATGAAGATATGGCCGGTATAAAAGGATGCTCGTAAGCCAGCCCAGGAAAATGGATCACTTCCGGACAAACCTCAAGAAGGACGCTGGGAGTTTCAGTGCAGAAGGGATGTTACTGTAAACGTCAAGCGGTACCCTTTAGACTAGTTGTTGAACACTGAAAGCCTCTGGCTGCCGAATTTGGGGGTCCCTTAACCTCGCCAGGGCACATATCATGGCTACCCTGTGGTTCAGCATATCTCCCACAGAGCCGAACCGCAAAATGCAGTTAACTACAAGAACTACCCTCACCCCCGAGCCCGTTGAACAGTCACGAAAGAAACCCCGAACTCCCGAATCCACGCCAAACAGAGGAACCAACCAGCGAAAACACAGCGCGTGGCGCTGGGCAACTATTCTCGCATGTATCCGGTAGGGGTCCTTGTTATGGGCTCACCATGGTTCGGCTATAGTTATATGTAAACTGAACCTTCAAGCAAGCTTCTGCCACGAAGTGTACGGTCGTGGACCCTTCTGCTGCCTGCAAGATCACGGACAGGGGATGCGCAAAAAGGCCCCAGGGTTTAAACCCTTTGCTCTGAACCTTATACCCCCCCCCCCCCCCCTCACGCCCCCGCAATGCAGGAGTCCTTGCGACGACTTAGGACGCGATAGACGCCGATTAAAGTAAATTCAATTTTCCGAAGTCGTGTCGTCATATGTCGCAACCAGAGATTCGACTGGAGGCATAAGGGTGCCTACGTTGTTACACGGGGCTGATTTATGCGAGGAGCGACTTCTCGAAGATCGCTACATGGAGATAGACAGGCTGGGTTCTGGTAGACCCCAGCTTGCGCTAAGTATTTCGGGCATCCACAACATGCCATTGGACACCAGGTTGAAGGGTACGAGGTCCACTGTTGCTGAAGGTATGTTTGCTATTCCTTCAACGTTTAGGTGGCTGCTGGAGGTTTCCATGGGATGTGCCATCGGTTCACGAACCTGGGGGTTGGCTGACGTTGTAGTACAATCCTGCGTGGCATGAAGACCTAAAGTTACACAGGAGCTGAAAGTTTGTGGTAGTGCAATGGCAGCAGGACAAGCACAAGGTCGGCTTTCAGAAGAGAGCCTCCAAAGCACCAGCAAAACAAGCACGGGGCACCATGGCTTGGATGATGCGGGCATATGTTTTCACTAAATCGAGGTATGCGACCTCGCAGATTGTATTCGGTAATATTCCGTGGTCTGTTCTGAGCCCCAGACCTTCAACCCTAAACCCTCNNGTCCCAGTTGTGAGAGCGTAAACCCTGAACCAAGCTCCCACCCAGCTCGGCGAGGGAAAACCGCGTGCTTCTGAAAAAGATGCCGGAGACCTGGGAACAGAGATTGAAAGATGCAGGCGACGTATCCAAGCTTTGTTTGAGGTTTGGAGCTTGAGTTTATCAAGGGCACCGTCTCTAAATAAGATTTTGGAGCCCAAAACCAGAAGGTCGCCGAGCACTAAACCATCCGGAACCCCTTAACTACTATGCCCTCAGCGCTCACGAGGAATGGAGTTTGAACATCTAGTGATGCACTTGTAGAGGTTTTCGGGCTTGGGTGCCGAGGGCATGAGTCCCCAACTGACGAGTGCAACTTCTCATTGCCCGCGTCCGTGCGGCCGGTGTCCAAACCACGGTTGAACATCTCCAAGCGCTCGTGTCTCCCACAAGGATTGAAGAGTATTATAGCCATAAGGGGTCCCGACAATCTCAAACTCCCAAACCCTTATAAAGCTTCGCAGAATCGCCTTGCGGTTCTGCATTTCATGTCGACGGCTCCGATGCTCAGGTCGGAGGCTATGCGCAAGCGGCAGCCCAAGTGTGCCGGGACTTTCATGATCATCTGCCTGGCATTGTGAGGTCGGTTTGAAATCAGTGTTCCCTCTGAGGTCCCTTGAGTAGCTTACGATCACAATTACTTTGAATCCTCTGGTCCAAAGGAACCTGCCCAGAAGTTGGAACCGTAAACCCTGTGTCCGGGATTGCGATGTGGGAGAGGTCGGATTGCAGGGTCTGGGCTTCAGTGGATTGCTTAAATTAAAGGCTTAAAGCATAGGGCTGCATAGGATTCTATGAGAATCTTCTTTCTGCGTAGCTACTTTGCCGAGACTAGGACTTAACGCAGAAGCCCAAGGCCAACTCAAGTTTGAATTTCCTTTCAACGGCCTGGAGGGCATATTATGCTTAAAAGCCATTGTTGCGTGGGTTCAACGATTACTCCATGTTGTCATCGTAGGACGATTTCAAGGAAATACGTAGGTTGTGGCTTCCGAGGTTTATTCAAAGCCCGAACCTCTTGACTTGAGGCCCAATCCATACGTGGTTGAGAAGAAGGAGGAGAAGCCTCCTTCCTTGCCCGGTGCCCATGTGGCTGGGGCTTGGAGATTAGTCTGACTAGGGGAACCTACTGTTACGCTGCCTTAGCCACCAAGAGAATGGCTTTGCAACGGCCTTCGGCTGTCCAAACAAGCCTTGTCGATTTCCTTTTTTTTGTGAAACGAATCCTCTGTTCCATCGTATTCTGACTGGAGTTGATGGGTCTGGGCTCGGGCTTTGTTCGTTGTCCTTTGCCGTAAGACTCAAAATACATGTTCATTCAACCGCAGAGCCTTGAACTTTTCCATGCCTTAGATGCTAAGCCTTTGAGCTTGAGCTAGAAGCCGGCAGGTTTTCATTTTCTATTCTCCATTAACCGGGCTTCCTGTGCGGACGATGCACGAAGGCGGTCTGCCAGGATAAGCACTTTTCAATGATGGAGCGAAGGGATCTAGATCTGACGCATCTTGGATACAGGTGAGAAAGGAGCGAAGCCGAAGACAACGATGGCACACTTCCACCCTTCGCATTACAAGAAGAACAGAACCACAAGCATGACCAAAGTTCTCGCTTTCAGCAACCTCAAGCGAGGACAACCCGATGGCGTGAACTGAGCCCCAAGCCCTCAGGAACCGATCTGGCCGGAAGATGGAGATGATCAGGACTTGGCTTTGCCAACGGCGCACTTGCACCCGGCAGTGCCGCTGTCATTTACCGTTAATGGCCAGTAAAATCAGCAATGTTCTTACTGTCACAGTCCTTACCGAACTCCGGAGCTGAGTAGGTCACCTTTAACTGCCTTTAGCATTCGCGGGTTTGATACATATATAAATAAAGCTGCCACGGTTCAGTTGCAGCCCTTTCTTCCTGGCCCCAGCAACACAGCAACTAGGTCCGTGCTTATACTGCTTCTTGGACCCACGGAGCAGGAATAGATCGATAGCACACAGCAGGGCCCCATCGTGACAATGGTATATGGCACCACTGCAAAGAGCACCTTGACGTAGCAGCACAGTAGTCGGTTCAATGGCTTTTAGCCAGGTTTTGTGCGGTGCTCCGACGTTATAGAGGTATGTTATGAATGAGGATGAATGAGGCTCCTGCATGGGAGCCGCCTCCAGTAGCACAACACAACAACTGTTTTGGGGTAAGGTTCGGAATGTTCGGTCTTTGGTTCATTACGGCTTGGGCTTGGGCTCCAGTCTGGTTCGAATTGCCAGGATCACCAAAGACAATGCTCGGCTTCTCAAGTCAATTCAGAAGGCCAGCTTGAAGAGGGCAAAGCGCCATGGCTTTGGATTAAGCTTTAGTCTTTAGTCAGCTGTGCAAGTGATTGGGGTTCATCTTGTGAGGACCATGGTTCTGGTTATTGCGCTCCCTTCTTCCCCACGGGCACGAAAGGAAAGCGCCCTGATCCCCAAGCACCAAACGAAGGCCTACGGTTACGTAAGCTTGCACAACTGCTACGCATGAAAGTCTACCACTTTCCGCCAAGCAAAGCTCTCCACAATGCACGGCGCATTCCACTAAATCCTAAACGCCCTCGACATCCCTAATCCTTGCACCCACAGAGTTGACATAGCTCTGTGCCCGTTGGCTCAGCTGGGCCCAATGTGGCTCAAGCAGCACGGCGTGTAGGTTCGCTGCAGTACGGTACCTATGTGATTTGCAGCTTGTGTCTTCAACACCCAGGCGTTGCTGTGCTTGGCTTATTCTGAAGTTTCTTGAACTTGGAAGTGGGAGCTTGCGACAAGAGTAGAAGATTATGAGCCCGTTTGGCCTACTCTTAAAACCTTAGAGCTGTAGACCCACTTTCCTCGAATGATTGGTCCTGGAGCCATGGCAGCCATCAGGCCACCAAGTCGATGGGGCACATGGGAGCAGCTTGCACTCAAAGAACTGCACATGATGTGTGAGCGGGTGCATGGTGCCGATCTCCCATCAGTACTGCAGAGCAGACCTTGAGGCATGTGAGCAGGGTAGACTAAAGCGGTCTCTCATAGAGTTTTGAAGCCACTGGCCCGCCAACACTACCATTGCAGCCACTGCCGCAACCACCGCCACTAACACCGCCACTGCCAGCTGCCACCACTGCCGCCACCGCCACCACCACCACCACCACCACCACCACCAGGCCGACAACAACGACGACGGCCGCAGTGCTTCTAAACCACATCCTTGCCAATAGTTTCTCGATGGTTCCGCGGCAACAAGATCAACTGCCCACTCAAGTTGGGCGAAAAGTTTGTGCTTCTGACAGGAGTTCAGATTATTTGCTTGCGTGTTTTTGTTGCATCCTGGACTTTTTGGAGGAGCCGCGTCCAACATTATTGCGGAAAGCCGCTACGTTCACTTCTGATTCTACACACCACAAAACAGCAGGACAAGCCAGTGCAAGCATTTAGGCAGAAAGCCCCTCGTACTTAGAGGCTCCAGGGCCCGAGCAATTTGTAAATATGGGCCAGAAATCGGACCATCTTGCTATTCCATTTCGGATGCAAAAATGGCTTCATATACGTAGTCTAGCTAGCTACCATGCCCGCTCAGCCCTCGAGTACTAGCCGTCCTCCCAGGCCGCAGCCCAGGGAGCTTCGCATCCAGATAATGCCAGGTTCGGGCAGCGAGTCCGAGGCGTTCCGAAGACACTGGGTTTGCACCTTTGTTTGCTTGCACCGGCAGACTATGGCTCCGTGTGCTGTGTCTAAGAACATAGAAGCCGAACCCCTGAAGTGCTCCAACAAGCAGTCAATGCTAATCACCAGAAGGCTTTGGCATTGGGGAGTTGACGGCTTTGCAGGTGGTGGAGGATTTGCCAGACATGCGCCGGACTCGGTGGAGCCTCGGCATTCCCGCATGCCCATACCAGACAGACGCATACTGCCGAGTGCTCTATTACACTAGATTATCGAACAGAGTCCAGGGGTCCTGGCAGCAGCCGCAGTAATCACGATGACATCCCCCATCGTCAGAGCTGCTTCGTCGCGGCGCAGGCTTTAAGGCTTACCGAGAAAGGCGTTCAGCCCGATAGCTCTAAAGAGAAACGCGCGACAGCCTATGCTTCAACAACGAACTTTTCGACGTCCTCCTGGTAAGTGGCTGGATTTTGAATCTTAGTTGGCCCAAGGAACAATGCAGCAAAGACGGCTTCAATTTTAGGATTTCATTTCCATCTGTGCACCCCGAGAGCGGCAGCTTTGCGATCTCTATAAACTGCCACCAGTCTTCAAATCAGATGGGCCTACCTGATTCTCCGTGAAACATAGGGTGTATGGTTTGCCAATTGTCCAATCCCACTCCGAAGTTTCAGAGGCATGTGACCACGTCGTGGGGTCATTCCGTTGTCCTACACTTAACCTAACAGAAGGGCCTGTCATGGGGCGTGGGTTTTTGCACACCACACTTTCGCA